GTCGCAGTGACGTATATAGCAGGTAAGCCATAAGCATTAGTAGTCAGTTTGGGGCTGTTTTTCTGTGTATATTGAATGCAAACACTCAGGCCACCTAGCCCGTACCATCTATCATTTTGTTTGAGTCAAACCCATTTTCCCCCTGGGGAACCAATAGCGATGCGTCTTGCATGAGTACAATTATTAGCACTGGTAGCCTCAAACCTTACGTAAGAAGATCGACTCCGTTGGTTGTCCAGCGCATGAAACATGCGTAAATGTAAGGAGGTTTGCCACGCAGACTTAGTTAAAGTATAGTATGGGTGATTCACCAGTGACGTGCCCGCAGTTAGGCATAGGGCTAATAAGGCAATGTTCTACTTACTGACCCAGTAATCTGCTGGTGAAGTGCTAAATTATTAGGTGACTACCGTAGAAGAGATGGCAATTTGCTACCTGAAATTAGAACATAAATTAATTTGTGATGGTTTCTGTCACCAATTTGTATGAGATTTTGTATATGGTTGTAAATTCATTTAATATACGTTTAGTTGATGGCAACGTTTGTCGATAGTTTAATGGAGGTGGTAGAGTATCACTAAGAATGTATTTGTATGTCTATCTTCATGTCCGTTATGTCACGGAACATTGTAAAAATACTCAGGGTGTACCATGATATCTGAATTCATGTAGAAAGGTACATTTTACACTTACCCTAATTGTAGCATTCAAATGACCCAGCGTACGATACAGTTTTACTAATCAGAAGATAATGGAAAATTGAGTAACCGGCTTACTGTCTTCCTCAGAGGAATTTGTTAAGTAAATATGTATTAGCTTAGCTTATCAGTCGCAAACGTAATAAGTGCAAGCAACAAGTGAATTGATTTTACATGGAACACAGGTTCAAGAGAAAAACAGAATCTCGTAATCATTACTACTTCCTATTTATCGAATGTCTTTTACTCAGAGCTCAAAGCGCAATATATTACTTTCGATCATTAGTTCTTAGCCAGTTGGAAACCTTTTGTTATTTTTCTTAGTATAAGCTTGATCTCCTTCAATGTGTTACATAATAAGCGAACTTTTGAGATTAGAACTCTCAGCATTCCAATTGACTTCATTATCCAGTTCGCCTTGTTATTTCACCGCATGTTCGGACTGGCTACCTTAATCGCTATTCAATATTTGACCAAGTTAACGGTTGCTCTTGAGAGTTTCTACGTTTCAGCAACCGCACCTAGACTGGTGGATAGTATAGGAAGCTTGAGCGAATAAAACGCTGTTGACGTGTCGTTGATGCAAAAATCCGTTGCGTTACGCAAATGTATTGTAAATGAATGCCTGCGTATGTTTACTTAAAAGTAGACCCTAGCTGTGCCCTTGATCTTTTGCAATGCGGTCATTACTGATTGGTAGGAGCAAATATAACACATTGTTTCTGCTCCCGTGCAACAGTTGCCTTAGTGTCGATGGCGTGTGAATATGGACGCCATCATTATGTAGATAATATAGCATGAACTTATCTGTAGCGTTCTTGTCCTGAATCTGCAAAGCCTCTAAGCTATACGAGAAAAATTTCAAAGGGCTGCGTTAATATTAGCAATTGCTTCGAAGTCCAAAACTTACCTGGACTCCCAGAATTCTGCTGCGAAATCTAAAGATGAACAACGCTTACTGCACCGACGTTTACATCTTTTGTTAGTTAAGATCATCGTGCAATTTTAATCTGCAATATTCCCTAAACTTGATTTACTATTTCAGTATCAGCAGAAAAAGCTTATCAAGATCGGCTTACCGCGCTGTGCAGCGGGAATTTAGATATAAGCTATTACCAATTAATTTGTAACTGTTTGCGTTAGTTAGTGAATAAAATAAATAGAACATTGCAACTTAGGATTTATGCATCGCTAAAGCCAACCTAGAGAACTGTAGTGTAATGAAAAGAGGGAAAACATAACTTTTACTGCTAAAGTCTAGTTGCGGTTTGGCGGCGGTCCTAAATCTATCGGCACAATGCAAATGATTGCGACAACCTGAAGCGCACTAATACAAATCATTGACCGATCCCTGAAAAATCATTTACTTACTGGTGAAACGCATTGGATGAAAACGTCCGTCTACTGCTTTCACTCAATTGTAGGTACCGGTCTGCATTTGTATACAAACGCTGAATCTTCACATAAGCAAAATAAACGCCCATACTACGCAGTACAACTCCGTACTCGCCTTAAAAGCCTGCGCATAATGGTTTTCGTTGCTCTAAGAGCCAGCCCATTCCACTGCGTTCATAATATGCATGACAGTGAAGCATGAACGGTGTTATATCGGTTCAAATTGTAGTCATAACTCCAATCCTTCGCAACTCATCTTTCAGTGTTAGAATCTTAGAGCTAGTTCAAAAAATGCTGGCGAGCCCTAGAGATCATTCCTATCCAAAGCGTTCGTGTGTGTGTAGTGGTCGTCAAGCCGCGATTAATCTTCATCATATTTTGGACGGTCATGTACATCTTATATGCAATCTGTATCGTTTTACCTACGCTTTTTTGTTGCATTTATCCGTGTTATATTTTTTGCTTCAATTTGTTGACGCTTATCAGTGGTACTGCAAACCCCTGGCAAAGCAATTTAGCTTAGCCTTCTATAAACAAAATCCAGGTAGCCTGTGAACGAAGGTTCACATAAAAGGAATTGCGCGTTATAAAATCTACGGTTAACTTATTCCAAAAGATTAAGGGTTTAGCATTAATCTATGTACGTGATTATTTAGATGTTTTAAAATTCTCTCTAATGGACTATAACTCCATTAGCGAAGAAACCCCAATTGCTCCTGTCATCTGGGACAGGTAGCGTCTTATGAAGAAGCAATCATAAATTGATGCATGGCGAAAGTTTTCTACACTGCCTATGTTTATATGGCTGCATAGCTTCAAACTTGATTGTGTTCTAATATCTAATGTATATCAAGTGATGATACAGTATCTTGCTCTTATAACTTTATAGCAAACTTTAATGCCTTAATCGGTCTCACATGATAACATATTCTCCGGATGGTAAAACTGTGTATCCTACACTAGCTGTTCTAAGACCAAACTAAACAACTTCCGCATATTAATATATATGCCCAATAATGAGCTTGACTTATTATCGTGATGTAAAATACAACGAAGATACCTCAGTTCACGAGGTCGAAGGGATAGACGGAATTTCTTTGTTCCTTTAGGACGATGTGTTAATTATGAATACTAGTTTCACTTAAATTGTTCTGATGTCCATTAGCTTTTGGTGACACTGACCATAGACAAAGAGGAATAGCTGTGATGAGATATCCTTCCGATGATTCTCTTCAGGCATTTACAAGCATGAGGTAACTTGATGGAACACGATCGTCTAACTAAAGCTGCCGTAGTGAATGTTTAGCTCACAGTTCAAAGGAAGCTCGATGAGCAAATCGATAGATCAGTCAATGCAATCAGATGGTAAAAGTCACGCACTTTCAGCCTAACACACTGAAAGGCAAACACAACAAGAATCAAATGGTTGCTTTGACGTCAAACTCACAGTTAGTCCCTGGTAAACGTACGTACGGATGGCGTAAATCGTTCCTGCCAAGGAAGCGTAAACGCTTGTACAAAGATCCTCGGCTTGCATAACACCGGTCGCAGCAGCGTGATAGCCATTTCTTTCTTAGTGGCAAAAGACGTTTCCTGAATCCGTTTGGGTTGCGTTTGGATACGGTGTAAAGAAGTTTGAAAGCGTCATCGGTCCAAACATGATGCCCCGTACTTACCAGGTGAACAGGGACGGAGCTATGAACGTTCTTAAGTGTACCGTACCCTAAAGATGATGGACATTGTTCCGCTATTCTCTTAGACAGACGCCTGGTCGTGTGTTTGAAGTACCTCGCACCACAGGTGCAGGTTAATTGATATACTACGAAATACTAGAAACGAGGTGGGAGCCTATGTTTGAGACTTTTAGTGACAAACAAACTGTCTTGGCAAGAAGGTGGACTCTTGAGGCGGGATAGTTTTTCGTTCACAGCGACGTACAACCTTTTGTTCAATAAGTTGTACGAATGGGCAAACTAAACGACTATAGCAAAATTGATCCGGAATGTGTTTAGCCGCTAAAGCTGCCATCATATAACAATTGGTTGCTTTCTTAATTTTGGGATTACGTTTAAAAGGCCTAATTTTAAGACTAAACAAATAGAAGCTGCTTTTCTAGTAGATTCCATGACGAATTCATCCCGTGCGCTGAACAATTTTAGTAACTAGATCCCCTCAGCCATGTGCGTTTTGCGTGTTAAAATCATTCCTTCGAGGAATTGGTATCCATCTAGTTTGAGAAGTGTGATTGATATTTGAGAAATAGCTATTCGCTGCTTCTCTATATGAACCCGTTATGTTGTACTATTTTACCGTATTACACTGATGTGACGCTAGAACCAGTACGTACTAATTTTCCAGCTAATCAACCAACATACTTACTTCTGGTGCATTACACATTATACTATATTTGATTACTTGGACCAACTAATCGTCATGGAAATCATTCCCAAGCCTTAACCTCTTTTAACATATCGGTTCAAAACCGAATACATATGCTTTAATTATAGATAAATCAAAATTGTCAGTGTTACAGTTTCTATCTTATACAGTGCTCTATTCCGAAGCTCAAGTATACTTCCTGGATGGAGCAAAGTGCGGGTTGTTAACAACAACCCTATGTCTTGGATTACCATAGGAAACCGTATTTTTGACTTCTGTGTAATTTAAACGGAGCCTCCGCTACTTTGACCATCGGGACAATATTAGAAGTAGAGAAGGTAGTAGGTAATATGTAAGAAGCAACATGTAATATTTAATATGTTTAATGTGTTTGCACTGCTGGTTGATTCACTCTTACACAGTCCGGTTGATACAGTATATAACCCCAGGTTTTAACTCATTTATTGATTAACAATTACTTTCCAGGTAGTGTAACACTGCATGGAAATATACGAGAACGCCAGTGATTAATAACCCGCGCAAAAGAAATGTATTAGCGCTCAGATATTACAATGATAATGGAAAAATATTTTCACAAAATTCGTCACGAAAGTCCGTTGCAAAGTTAGTAGACAAATTCCATTAATCCTCAACTTCTTCAGTAGATGTACGGAAAAACCATGAAAGACATAACCTAAACAAGAAAACGAAAATCAGCGTAATCTTTGAATGAACGTTTATTTCTTTATACAAATCTAAATAAAATCTGCAAATTTGACTTCACCATGTTAGAGTGGAATAGGTGCAATTCATTTTACAAACTGGCTTCGTGCGAAACACGTAGAAACGCATTATATTTAGTGGTAATAAAGAATGCATCATAGATTAAATTAATGAAAATAATATTATCTACTACGTAGTCTAAACAGTCGCAGCCTTGGAGTATATTAGGAATAATCGAATGACAAAATGCCGTAATTTTTGGCATTAGTTTATCCCTCATTTATAAGAGAATCAATTTAGAGAAAGCTGTGGAACATCATTTCTAACTATTTCGTTAACTATTAAGTATGTACGACATATCCTATTCATCCATTATGCACAAGTGACTGCAATATAAAAGTAACGAATATTATTGCGATATGTATTAATTTTTGAAATACGCTTGTAACTGAATGTGATCACCGAATAGTGGCTTATTAGTTTGCCATTTATGTTTAACTTTAAACAAGCAGCTGTTAGTTTGGAGGTGCTATTTTAAAGTGTGTTGGCCAGGAGCCTTAACTGATGACCACGAGAAAATCTAATGATTGCATGTGCAGCGAGCTACTTAACAATAATAAACTAATGTCGTTCATATTGTATTCCACTTACTTACAGCATATCATGAGTTTATTTGCTAATATTCAGTGGTATTTATAATTATTTAAATTAAAACCTGCAAAGAGCTATAATCTCTGACTAAAACAAGGTATACTATGCCAGTTTTCGGCTTTCTTTCAATTACACACAATTTGATTAATAACATTCTTAACTCTTAAGCCCAACTAGTAATGCCTACGAACCTAATTGATAACTGCCGCTCGGTGTTGTAGCGAGACATAATTACCTAATTTCCCAGTGCTTGCATGTAAAGGGAAACAGCACCTCATTTGGAATATTATCTACAGTATCGATTTTCGCTGAATTTATGGGCCAAGCGTGAGCATTAGTGGTTACCCAGGTAGAAAATTATTTCTATAAATAACGATCAAATGCTATACAACCTAATTATTTTGGGAATTGTCAAACTATGCTGGCATGATATTCCAGGTTTTTCCGTGTATCATACCAGAGACATGTAAAGGTAAAAATGCCAAATTGTCATTTAATATTGCTGGTAGCGTACATTAGATGTCAAATTATGAAATTCTGTGTGCATTGGAGCTTTACATACTAGGGTATTTGCTACACAAAATTCGGTAGCGCATATTTACCTGGAACCAGCAATATAGCCAGTGTGGTTTTGTTGTTCCTCCGGCGTTGGTGGTCTCATATTCAGTTTAACTGTGCATCCACTGTCATCTGTATATTCAGTATCTTGCAGTCCAGCATTGTTGTAGATTGTTCCATTAAACTCCACGAACGCATTACCTATGACATAATTAAAGCGCATTTATGATACCAATATTTTGTCGTGAAATCAAAACATAAATGGTCAAATTATGAACTTGGCAGAAAGCTACATAGCCAAAAATAGGTGTATCTGCTAATGTGTAAACGGAGTAATTTCTCGCCGTATTTGTTCATCGGAATTAGAATAAAAACAACAAACGCAATATACAGATGCTGGAAAGAAGCAGAATATCCTGCGGAAGTGCGGATAGCACTCACCGGACGGTTTTTCTCCCTCTATTTGACAGGTCAGCTTACATCGTCCACTACTTTGTGCATAACAGATTTCTGTGTTTACTTGTGTCATGTTACTTTTCTTTTGCTATTCTTAATTTCCTTATTGTCTGTTGTAATCGCGTCCGTTTGTTTTACCCCGTACTTTTATCGTGAATTTATCAACTTTAATGTCACATCTGGTAAGTTATCCGCAAAGACGAAACCGACCACTTGTGGCATTTGTTGCAAAATAGTTGAACATAGAGCCAACGCGATTACAAGCATTATATGTATTGTGAATTTTCACATTTCATGTATTGGTTTGTCCTTAGATCATTTTAAACTTCTGCGGAAAATTCAGCATAACTTGTCTAAATAGTGCACGAGAAATGCCAAGCCACGGTGCAGTCACAAACATTGAAGCAGCGCGGGCACATAAGTACGGATGAAACGTTTGACAGAGTGGAGCTCCGTGGGTTAATCAAAGCAAGCGGAAACCCAAGCACTTCTATGTTCGAATAAGCCCACCTGCCCACAGGCAGTAGGCTCGCAAAATTGATGCCCACCCGTCGCTGGAGGCTCAGCTGGCGGGCCTGTGTGGTCACAAACCGCCGACAAGCCGCACGAGTCTACAAGACGGGCGAAACATTCCATGGGGAGGAGCTCCGTGGGTTCATTAAAGCAAGCTGAAACCCAGCCACCTCGATGTTCAAACGAGCCCACCTGCCCACCGGCTGCAGGTACACCAGAGAGATGTCCACCTGTTGCTGGACACTAAGCAGGATACCGGTGTTGCGCGTAAAGGACACTAACCTACCGATGTGGGAAAGTGCATGCGGAGAAGGCCAATGTAGGATGCATGGAAGCAAAAAGGAGACGACTGAGTGTAATCAGCGGCGTTGTAACCTTAGGATATTTCTCACGCCTGAGTCGAAAGATGCTAGTCTTCAAGCTCGTTATGAGCATGGTGTGATTTTTCTGTGGAGCCTAATTGATTGGCATCTCAATGTGCATGACCAGAGGTTGTAAGTGAAGTAAATCACCCGTCTTGGAAAGAAAGGGGAATGGAAGTAAGGGACCCTGCGAATCACGTTCTGTGAGGCGAGGAGTCCGACTCTAATACCATCCCGCCTCGGTAGGAAAGGAGGTCTAAAGATCCAAGTTTGTCCTGCTTTTGATCCGTCGTACAGAAAGAGAATAAAGTCAGCTATGAGAAAGCGGACTGCTCGTGGAGAAACCAATCTACAATTTATAAATGCTTGGGTAGTTCCTCCTTGTCCGCCGAACCAGGATCAACCGCTTGATAACGCTTCATCCGCTTCCATCGGTCCTTACCACCGCCTGCACGTAGGCTTCACAAATGTTGGCAGTTTATTGAACAAATGTGACCATGTATTTCACTTAGTTTTCTCTCTTCATACAGATTTACTATTACTGACTAAAAGCTATTTATGTCATGGGGTCACCACCCAGGAAATCCAGATCAGTAAATACATATGATTCTGGTGCGACAAACTGTCAAACGAGCAATATGATCTGCTGTTATATACTCGGTACTCGCTGTGCGGAAGACTGGTACAAACGTACGGCAAGAAGATGGCTTGTACAATCAGTTGGCGTGCTCTGCCCGGCTGAGACATGGTGAACTGTTTGTGAGTGCCTATTACCGCAGCCGGCGCAGTAGACGCTTGGATTGGTTGGCGCATGTCAGAAACTACAAGCTTCGGCCCCACTTTCTACTTATGGGTGACTTTAATCTCCTTTGATTACAGTGTTCTGAGGTTCAACTTCGCTCCTGGAATGGTGAAAGCGAGGCACCGTTTACGGAGATGTTATTTGAAAGTGAGGCAGAAAAACATTTCTGTCAACTAAAGCGCGTTACATTGCATTCCGCTCCATCGTGCCTATGCCTACTGCTAACAAGTTGCGAGCAATGTGTGCAAGCAATTAAGCTCCTGGAGTCTCTGGCAACTAGTGCTCACTCGATGTTGTTAGCCAGCCTACAGCTATCGCTGCCCTATACGCGTCTGCCAGAGCCTTCTTAATATTATTGGAAGACCGAGTACAGTGGTTTTAGTCGATCCGCCAGTGAAGCAGACTGGTGGCTGCCGCAGGATTCAACTGCTGAAGCCTGTTGGTCAGTTAAAAACGAGTGTGCGTAATTGTTGTGCACTTATTTTGTACCACTCAAGTATCTGAAAGACTGACCAGTGAAGCCACATTAGCTCCACAGAGAGTATGGCCAATTGACTGGACAGCGAAGTGTATTGTGGATTAAATTCCTCAAATCCGGCTCAGTTAAAGATTATGATGCGCACATAAACGGCGAAATCTATGCAAAATGTAAAAGTGCAAAAGCGTACGCAGTTCGAAAAGGGGCTTGCAACCTCAGCGATGACAGCCTCCAAGAAGCTTTTTGCTTACGTGAAGCGACGCCGGAAGACCGCAAGTGACGTAACTGTGTAAGAGGGCAATGATGGGCAGACTCTGATCACAAGCAATGAAGCTGTGTCTGCTTTGGCGAAGCACTTCGCTACCGTATATACCAGTGTAAATGCGCTTATGCCAAGGTTGATTTGTGCAGCGCCTACTGAACTGGAGGATTTTGATTGCGCTGTACAATATATCCACAGTCTACAAACTGGTCTTGACGGCGAAATCTGCTGCACTTGATGTACTTCACCCGTTAATTTTAACGCACTTATCGGCCATCATCTCGCCTACTGTGACGGAGCTGTTCAACAGATCGCTATCCAAGGGAGCATTTCCGAGCGGCTAGAAGTGTTTGGTAGTAAAAAGATTCCAAAAAGACAATGACACACGTAATGTGGACAATTACCGGACGATCTGTCACAAATCTCTTTTGGCAAAAGTGGTCGAGATGATTAGAAAAAGCTCTTCTCTAGCTGTTGGAACCGAAACAGCCCCTAAATCCAGCACAGCACAGCTTCATGAATCGCCGCTCGTGCATCATCATTCGGTTGCTCACGTCGCGGGCATTGTTGTAAGCGTTAAATGGGGGGAAGTCAGTGGATGTTATTTTCTTCATTTCAGTAAATATTTTGGTAAATTGAACCATGATGTCCTGCTTTACAAATAGAGGATGTATGGTATTGGTGGCGCACTGCACCTGTAGATCATTGACTTCCTTATTGGGAGAAGATGACGGGTTCTGGTGAATGAGCACTTAACGGAATGGGACCCGTCCACCAGCGGCGTATTCCAAGGTACAGAACTGAAGCCAGTTTTATTCCTGATTCAAATCAACTAAGTACCTCTGGTTCTTCAATCATCCTGCATATTATTTACTGATGACCTGAAGATCCGGTGTACTACTGATTCTCCTGGCGACTGTGACTTCATTCAGTAGGACCTCGACCGCCTCTCCTAGTGGTCTGCATAAGCTGGCCTACGGCTCAACATGGCCAACTCCTCGTTTATGAGCCTGGCGGTAGTTATGGGCGTGCTTACACTATGCAAGGCCACCCGCTGCATGCCACCAATTTCGTAAATGATCTAGGCGTGCTCTCACACAATGTTTTGAACTCTGCCGGCAACACGAACAGACGGTAGGCAAGCGGAATAGGCCTGCTTTGGTCGTTTAGACGCAGCTTTTGCATGAGGCAAAAGAGATTTCCACCTGTCTGTTCTCTTCTTTGATAAGGACGGTGCTTGTGTACGGCTCATACGTCTATTGTCTGTTCACAGTAGGTGAGGTGCAGAGACTGGAACGTGCCCAGTACGTAGCTAGCCGGTTCATCTACAGTTTATGGGGTATGTGTTGGGAGTACCGATGTAGGAGACTAGTGCTTTATACCCTGTCATATATTCCGCTTCTAGTTGACCTCATAATGACGCACTGGATACTGCACCTGGGCCAGTAGCTTATGTTGAGGCCGCTGCTGTACTTTCGTACATCAAGCAGCACACGCAGAAGTGGGTACAATCCAGTGGTACCGGATTTAATAAGCAGCGCTCAGCCCTGCGCATCGAACTTTGGGTGATAATATTTGGAAGAAATTGCGGGAGAAGCTAGTCGAGGCGAAAACGGTGTTGGAATTTAAGAGATTCCTTGAAGCAAATCTTTGCGGACACCATGTAAAGGGAGCGTATCGTGACCGGTTAGCATGTGGTGCAGATGCATTGTGCTGCAACAGCGCAAGTAACAGCGACGTGATTCTGCGCTTGTGCCCGATCTACATAGGATGGAGCAACAAATGTTTTTTCCTCCTTCTCTACGTATTCATTATTCAGTATTGCGGCTCATTAATATAAAAACTTACAACAGCGCATCCCAACAAGGGGAATCCTTGAAACGGTAAAACACATGAGTTAATGTTTCGCAATTTAATAAGCGGAAACAATCACTTCAAATTGCACCAACGAAACTGACTCGTGATTTGGCTCATGTATTGTTGAAGTTTGTATGATGGCCCATCTATTTATTTTCGTACCAAACAAAACACCATTTCGATTTCACATTACGGCAACACCTTAGGTTAAACTTAATACAGGGTATACCAATTATGTTCAATATATATTTTGCCTTTATATAACTCATAAACCTCACCATTCTTTGTCTTATGAATTAGCTGAGTCGAATACATTTTAAGATTTCACCTAGAAAATTAGTTCAGTAATATGCGGCGGGTAGAGTACTGTTTAATTTCGACGAAGTACTATCCCGGAATTACAAGTTAAAACACTAGTAGCAGCGTAGTTCACGAATGATAGAAAAGAAAAGATATACGCCTGACTATTCTGCGTTTGAAACATTAAGTTTTTATTCAGTTACATTAAAGTGAAAGAAGCTGCACATGAGTTGATGCCAAATAATGTAAACTTCCACCTTCAGGATTTTTGCTTTTATGCAAGGACGCTATTAGGTAATTAGAACCGAAGGAAACGGTAAGTAAATGTCCCGACTGGGTCCATAATTTTGGGTCAATAACAAAGTGCTGGTATTTATGAAATGGTAGCCGAATCTCCCAAAAGGCCAGCCAGCTCTAATGCTGATTCCTGTTTTCCAAACAATGCGAACAGCAATAGCGCACAACATCCTTGTTTCCTTAGCTATAAATGCCTGCAAATATTTATCACCATTTTAACTGTATTGTTTAGCTGTAGTAAAACAGCACTTATTTTTACCCGCTTGTTTGATCTCGAAGTTATGGATACGTTGGGTCATGTTTACAAAATCATTGCAGTTTGCCCACCAGCCTACTGGTTACAGTTGTCTATCTGCTTTCGGAAATTAAGTATTGCCTATTATTGCTGGTGTTGCACCAAATAAAGCGTATACTTGAATGAAAATTCTATAAAGATTTAAATTCGTATACACTTAGTGTTTCATAATTGAAGTCAACTTAACCTTAGAGACCATGTCCAAAACCACATTTCCATCACATACATGATAAAAGGTACGAGGTTTATTAGAATTGCTTCCGTTTATAAGGTATTAATTATAATTGATCAGTATATTTAAATTTGCTTGGAACTGTGCGGTAAGTTATCTTCTCAGAAAGCTTTTGTAGTTGATCCAATTCGAAGCACCTATGACGGTGTGCGTCAGTGTGGATGATTACAAGACAGGAATTGTTGGTTACTAACTTTTAAACGAAGTGGATAATCGTAATACATGAACTAAGATACAGAGGCTAAAATATCACACTGTAAAGGAAATGACATTTTCTACTAAAATCAGTGGCTAAGACAGTGTTAAGTACAGTGTCAAAGTGTGACGGTGTCAAAGACACAATTGGCAAGTTGGAAATTAAGGTAGGTTAATTTTATCATTTGCGACCGTTTATAGTTAAATAACCTTGAATTTATTGTTACAAAATTCATACCTCATCTGTGGGTATAAAGAAATAGTTTTCTTTTTTTAAAAACAAAGCTACGAATCTAATTAAATTTTCTCAGTACTACTCTGCAAGTACAAAATTGATAAATCGTGTGCTTATTTTTTAACACAGTGACATTTTATTAAACTCCATTAACAGATGGCGAAGGTCGCAATTTACGTTTAAAATGTTTGCTGCCGTTGCCTATGGTAAAATTAAATATGTCTACTTACAAATAGCATACATTATGTAGGCTCTGATATACAATATATGAGTAGCAATTTATGCGCTCATCACGTTTTGTACCATTTGAGATGGTCGTCTTCTTTGCATATGTAAGGCGCAGTTTAGTTACGCACTGCCATTTAATTAACTTCGTTGGATTTCACAGGATAAGAAATGAGATAACAATATGTATAGCAAAAGGTATCGCCGACCAACCAAGTTAAAAAATAAAGTACATTACAATAGGTAAAATAATTTATTACTGTTTGATTTACTCACCAGATTCATCGTAACTGAAGGGTATCATAAACGTATAACTTCTCACTGAAGTCACCAGCCCAAGTAAAATTAGGGCAGCTAGTTCGAAATTGATGGACCTCATGTTTCAGGGCTAAAAATGGAAGCAGCACTTGCTTAATCAATTCGTTTATGTAGGTGCCGACACAAAATAACAAAATTGTCGATTAACAGATTTTTGTATTAAACGCACCAACTGAACCCCTATGTCACTGTATCCTGAATTCTTCATGACAAAATATTAATTCGGACCAGAACGTAATCGTAAATATTGGCACTAGATTTGCTAACTCTACAGTTCACGTAACTTGCACTAATATTTTTCGCGCATAGGGCACAAGTTTTAGTTATCCAAATTAAACCAATTTTCTTTCCTCTACTAAGTTGAAACTTTCATTTAATAATTCCGAAATCACTGACATTCTGCTTGGTTAAATCGTTTTGCTGTAATGTAATCATGTACTCTATTTTACTAAATGCAGCCTAAATGTTATCGGCACACCGTAATTGAATCAAACAGAATGTCATTACAAGTGTAATGACTTATTATGGTAGCAGTTTTCCACTTGCTACCTGGTCTTCGAAACGTTTCAGTTTATATACTCGAATGGAGTAAAATATAATTATGCTGTTTGTAGGCACAACTTGCACTTTACCAATTGCAAGCATGTTTCTTTTGACTAGTAAACTAGCTATTTGATAAAAATTCCGCTACTAAGCAGCTATAAAAATCTTGGTAGCTCAGTCGAGTTCAATTTATTGGGGTTAATATCTCTGTTTTTAAATGAGAGGGCAATTATTTCAAATGCTTTCGATTATGACTATTGTCGTCCTTATATAAAAGCTAATATTTGGATTGAGTTAAAAGCATACGGACAAGGTTTTAATTAAAACCTATGGACAAATGGATGTGAAGCCACAGCACAACGTTTCATACGAACTGCGTTTACCCATAGTTAAGGGTGAAAATATACAGTTCGAGTTCACTTTAATAGTTGGAGTAATCTTCAAAATGTTATTTGTCCAATATATACTTTAATTTACCAAGAACACCTTAAATTTTCGAGGAAATTTTTCTCAATAATTATCTTCAACCTGATTATAGCAAAATTGGATTACAAAAGCGCGAGCTTTTCAAACATCCATATACTTCCTGCTAACACAATATAGATATTCCTCTTTGTGAACGCAATAACCGAAAACTAATGGATAAAAAATTGCATTGCAGCTGTGGATAAAACTAGCTGTCATTTTTGGTGTGCACCAATGCCATCAGAGATTGATACTCGTTTCTAAAGATTTATGTCGTCCCTTAACTTAATACAATGCTGATAAATATACTTAAGTTTATCCCGCGTATATTAACCGAATGTGACATGAGTGCATAACTGAAAAGTCTCTTTATTCACGCTACACATCTGAGTCAAACAGATATAAAGCAAAAGTCTACTCACCGTTGGATGATCGTTGAAGCCATGTTAATTAGGGAGCGATATTTATATGTAACAACGTTATACCTCTGTCCATTCACAGCAGTCCACTGCGCTCGAATGTGATTGGACATAAATGTATACCATTGTTAAGGCATTGTTAAAAGAAAATTCATTCCTTCATCTAATTTTATTCTAGGTAAGGCATATTCCAATATCAGTAAGCGTATACTGTTTTAAGCTGCAGTTGAGAGTTTTGTGAATAATGCACATTTTTAAAATATTGCACATTACGTACATATTTTCAGCGAAGCTTGAGAAAATAATGAAACATATAACCACATAGATAATTAGTAGGAAACATATCTACTGCTTTCTTAACGCAAACAGTCTCGTATGAATTCAAGCTAGCAAATAAGTTAAAGAAAATGGTATCGGTTATAAGTCTACACCTTTTAATAAATGCGGATATTTATTGACGGATAGTGAGGTGATATTACATGTACAAATAAAATAGCAGCAGATCGTTTACAAAGTGTTTTACCAGCAAAGTCGTGTTAAAGAAATATTGAAAAAAGATTCTTTATTTACATCGTTTAACAACTAACTTCTAACCAACTAGCTGAACAGCCTTCACAAAGTACAAATGCATTTTCAAGAAATTAAGAGAACACTTTTAACTGTTGCTTAGTTAAGGTACTCGCAGTAAGTTACTGTTTAGAATATGCAACTAGTTGAAAGTTAAATTTGTCGAGAGAAATAGGTCTGAAGTAACTTCAATCTGCACGTGACTCGCTACTCGTCGAAGTCCTAACCTCAAATAAAATGATATTTGTTTTCCTCACTTAAAAGCCTCACGATAGCACGACATCAATGACGTACAATTAAGGCGATATTCCAGCTGTCGGTAAGAACACAACTTGGGGTGCAGACAGGTATATTCACGGAATGGTCCATTGAAAGATATCCCCAATTTAAAATTAAGGTTTTTCATGAGAATATATTATAACAATTATTCAGTTTGTTGTTTATGCTAATGCAGAACCCGTATAAATGAATACCATGTGTTTAAATAGATTTTGCTAAAATTATTCGGTTTTAAGGGGAATGCAAATAATATATACTAATCATCGCTTTAGTAACAAACAATTCAATTTATCTTTTAATGAATATTCCCAACAATATTAAGTAACTCAAAAGGAATGCTATATTTTAATAATCATTTATTACATCAGTCATTATAATTCTTTAGGACAGAAAATAGTGTTCAAGTGCGTGCCGCACAAGCCACTACTTTCTGTTCTAAATCCATATGATATTGGAAACCCGCTACAAACTGCTTTAACTTAGAACTACACGACCGATCCCTGCTAGTTAGAATCGGTCAGCAAGATTCTAAAGCAAAACAAATAACCATCGGAGTTTTCCAGTGAAGTGTGCTCGGGCTACTACTTTTCCTAACCTAGGTAAGCCACATATGCGACCCGATCAAACATGGAAGCATCGTTCTGACTGCAACTGATGTAAACTGGTCTACTCATTTCATTAGGACAAACTACAAATGAGCCTGGGAAGTATATGTGAAGAACTATCGACACTAAATATATTTATTAAAGCTTTCTTAACGATGTTCTCTGCTGTCAACTACCAAGTAGTTGAGTACAAATGCTGTAACACAGAAGGCTCTATCACACTTCCCGGAAATATGACCTCAATATCTGATTCAGTTCGGGATTTGGAAAGAGGTGTTCAAACTATTCCAATTTCTTTGAACAAGTGGTTATCATTTTGCCAAAGCTATGGGATGTTTAACCAGAACTTTCTCCTTATGTGAACCAGAATTTGCGTCATTCAATTTAATCGTACAACCAACTCTCGAAAACTGCATCATCGTTTAAAGCCGAATGAGAAATAAAGAAAAGCTCTGGAAAATGTCTATCGATCATTTTGCAAGCTGCTCATGGGGTGCTGCGCAAAGCTAGGTTATTATGTTTACCGTCGACGGCTCTAAATTTATCCAGTTTTGCTGAAAAGCTACTACAACATTATTAACCAAGTAATTTATGCAGACCTTACCGCACTTGAACTACGAATGGCTTCAGTCTAGCCCACAAGATAGGGCGGTTGCTTACTAGGCAAAAAGCTTGCAGCTGATACAGCTTGATCGAATTTCTTCTTATTGAGATACACAGTCTGTATAACACACTACCCTGCTGATTCCCATGAGTGCAAACCATATCACATTTAGAAATTCCCCAGATGCTTCCCTCAAAGAATCAAGGTGTTGAAACCGTTTGGTTTACAAAACACTAGCAGCATTAACGAAAGCTGGTATATATAACTTATATACAGCTAGTCGCTTATAAACAGCTTGCCCACTCCATATAATTAACCACAAAACTGAATCCTGAATCCTGTGTCTGTACTGCCACAAGCTCCATCCCTTTTTTTATCTACTCCTGGTCCTCACAAACCAGTATTTAGCGATATCACGGTGGCACATTTACCCATTAGTTGCTCCGGTCTAGGACCCGAGGGAAAATACATGATCCGACGTTCTAGTATTTAGACTTTGTTACCTATTAGGAATTTAGTTCGTATAAACCAAGAAACCTATTTGCTACACAAATGCTCACTCCTGCTTATGCACATTTTGTCGCTAAGTACCCAAATTTATTAAGTTATTTATTTATATGCATATATAAGCTGAGAACACGCTCACTTGTCGATTTACGTCGGAGCAGATAACTAGTTCTTATAAAGGTCTGTTGATCATGCGCCCATTACAGATGATTTTCATAATTTACAACAGATAACGGTTACTGCCTGGAACCTTTAAAAACATATAAACCAATGCATGCAGTTTTCTAAAATCAGTAGTAATTACAACAATTCCAGGTTGTTACTACATAATGTTATATGATACGAATCAGACATCGGTTCAGTGCTGAACCTTTATGGAACCTGAACCCTCATCTCGAAAGACATAAGGAGGTAGTTATTTTAGACAACCGGTACGTTAGCAAGTTGCTTCCGATTTCTTAAAGACACGGGATGAGCAACCATCGTGTACTCCTACTTGTCGATGTCTATGAAAGAAGAATTAAACCAGGCAGCACCGTTATTTCGCTCACCAGACTAGGCTAATTTGGTCATGTGTTACAACATGGTTTGGTTATTTGGTTTGGTTTGGTTATTTGACCTACTATGGTTGATGGGAAGAAAGATGAGGGCAGATTAAAGTTGACTGAACCATGAGAAATGATGGCTTCTTCATCGAAGTTGAGTTTGTTTGCGGACAACTGGCGGTGCACACGTCTTTTGAATTTACTTGTAGCTTTAACGAAAAACTTGGCTTCATGCAGTATATTTGGCTTATCTTCTGTCCTCAAATCGCATAGGAACTCCGCACCATCAGGAAAATTTTCGCCAAGTTCATTTTCCTGTTGTTTATTCCTTGTTTCCTTCTTTTGGAAGCCCATTCGGTTATATCTTAGTAAAAAGCGTTGCTTGCGTGTAGCTAACGAGTAGAATTTTGAGTGGTTGCCTATAAATTACACCTCCCATTTTTCTTTCTCGCTGATGTGTTTCATGTTTAAGCTGAGAGCAAGTAATTAATAAGCATTATTCTTGAATAAACCGACCATTATCTATATGGTTCATATAAGAAATGCAAGCGTTTTATGTGTGGTTTGTGTAAACACGAAGCATGAAAACTCCAACAACGAACGGGCGGTTTTTCACTTGGAAATGTTCAGTTGCTTCTTAAACAAAACCTTACCACGCGATGATCATACGCAGCATGGAGCTGCGGCTGACGTGTTCTTCTTCGTTGGGGCTAGTTTTCAGTTACTCTAAGGCAGATCATAATGACCTCACACTATTCGCGGTTAACAGGGTTCGCCCTTTGAAAGCGGGTTTTATCTGTTGAAGGTTGTAGGCCTATAAATTCGTTAATACTATGATTCCTACTCCTCATTGATCAAACGTGGGTAGGCAGCGGCGTAGACTAAGTTATAATGTCGTGTTTTCTGGATCTGACAAAGGTTACGTGGCTTGCAGTGTATGGAAATCACTGCAGTGATGCAAATGTAAAAGCGTCTAAAATCCCAAGAACCGCTTAAAACCAAAACATCAGCTCTAAATGTGTCCTTTACCTATGTACATCGGTAATTTGGATCTGCAGATCAGGTACTAATGTTGGTTGAGTGGGATGGAGCGTCCCACAGCCTGAACGTAACTGGTCCGCCTGCAATGCTGGAAAAGTTTTTCCGTATTTGCAAATGACCATTTATCTGTACTGAGTTCGACGGTTATCGATCCCGCCGAATTAGAGTAACTGGATTGCAACAGCGCATACAGAGTAAGCTGCTGACAAGCCCTTACAGGACTAGGCATGCCGTACCTGAAGGAACCCAGCCACTGATTGTTAATTCATTATCGTTAACCATTTATACTTCTATTATTGGGCTGTTCTGTACTTCGCATTCAACCAGTTTGTTACCGAGTGACTATACCTGATTAATCTCAACGCTCATACTGGAATGCTCTGAACAAAACATAATGGAAACTATTCGTGAATCTGCCTAACCGATTGTTTGGTAGTGACAATTGGGATGCTGAATAAGTGTAGTCAGTAGCCCATCGAGTCAAAAGGCCTCGTGACACGAGCACAGTATGGTTTCGTGCAAGTTTACTGATGGATCACTTATCTGCTCCTGACGAGGCACGAGAGGTTGAACGCGCTGAGCCAGCGCATATCGGTTGTAATCATTCACTGCAGCAAAGAATTTGACAAGGCGAGTCATGTGGTCCTGCTCCACAGACTGATAGTGGCTGGTGTTTTTGACTCGTTGTATCAAGGAGTCGTCAGTTTCCTGGTTGGTCTTAACTGTGCCTTGAATGCAGATAAAGGTGCGCAAAGTAATCAGTGCATTTGATAACTGTGACCTGTCTCTGTTTGACTCCGAACGCCTTTACAGGTGATCTGCTTATTTTGGAATTCCGCTTAAGTTGGGTGATCTGCTCTTCATGAAACTGAGTGAA